GCCCTTAAGGAAGAGTTAAGGAAATAGAAGACAGATGTTTATAGACTTTATAAATGAGGGAAGAGTGCAAGATAAACACATATAAACAGAAAAGACAAAGTTTCTTTCAGGGATAGGTATATTTCAGTGATTGGTGAAAATACTACAATTACAATGTAGCCGGTCTCTCATCACAAAAGCTGGGTTTCCTTATAACCCCTTATACCGAGGAACAACACTTATAGTATATACAATATAATGTCTTCTCTTCAATTTCCTTTGCTCTTTTAATGATAGCCTTCCTAGTTGTAATTACTAATTGCTTAAACATGGACTCTAATATCTTTTCTCCATCTGTTTTCGTGAAGCCATAATTATCTTACTTATGTCACTTCCCCTTCTGCTTGGAAAACAGTTTAGCATCAGATTCTGTCTTGCTTACTGCAGGTGATAGAGTGTTTCTTCATTTCTGAAAAAGACGAGGTTGATAGGAGCTAAGTTTTAGTTCCATTTTTAGGTGCTTTAGAAAACCTTTGGAAGAAGAGTTACTGAAAGAATGAAATTTGACTGCACTTGTAGATATGAGGGACCAGCCATAACCTAGCCCACTTAAACGTTCCACCAGCAGTGACTATAAACATAACACAAAGTTCACAGAAATCAGTGTCGTCTTTAAAACCAAGAGGTTGAGCACCTGCCTGGTCCTTATCCCCAAGTCCTGAGTAGCCGCCATGTCAGACTACCCTCAGGAAGATGTCAGCAAACAGACTCAAGACTGTTTTTCAGTTGTAATTTACAGCAAGAGGAGCTTGAGTGTTTTAGTGTATAAAGGGATGATTGAACTGGGTTGCTTGGTACTTCGGAGATAGCTCTGTCACTGGAACTGTCTGCTTCCTAACTTCAGCGTAAGTTTTCCTGGGAAGACCTCATGTAGTTTAAAAATCTCATCACCCCACGCATTAAACTTGTTCAGTGTTAGTCATCAGGGGCCTCCTAAATCATTTCCTCCCCCCTTTTTTTTCTCATGACTTTTCCTTTCTTAAATGAATTCTTATTTCTCCTATTAATTCTTGAATAAGCATTTAGTTTCAGTACTAGGTTTTGTCACTTGTGTTTTTCATAGCGTTGGGAAGTTTTCTCTTGATCTGTCACTTTCCTTTTTGAGCAAATAATAATAAAATGTCATGACTTCAGAAAATGCTTGGCATCATTGACATAGAGTGCTTTTATACCCAGGCCATTTTATACATATGTCTCCTCAGCTTTATTCAAATGTATCTGAACTATAAGGACCTTTGCCTATCAGAGAAGTTGCTCTCAGACTTACTTAGAACAGGAGTTGAGAAAATGCATATAAAAATTTATGACATCACAAGTATGTTTGTGTTGATAACTTTGGGAAGCAAGCACATTTTCCTTTTTTCTTAATGATAAGAGAAGCTGTGAAAGCTGTTCTTAAAGGTATTTTTCACTGACAAGTGAAATTGCAGATATTTTAGTTAATTTAGGGCACTGTAGAAAACTTAGTGTCACTGACAGAATCACATATTTCTGGGTATTAGTCTCATTCATTGTATACTTTTTCATGGAAAAAAAAAGTTAAGAGAACAGCTGCAGCTCTTATTGTAGATCTTGATGTATTCTATTTTTTTAAAAAAAGTGCAGAAGATATCTTTGTATCAAAAGAAATGCTGATGAATTTCTCTAGAATACAGACCCATTTAATCAGTACTGGCCGCTCTTCCTCACTTTGCTGATTGCATGTATTTGTGACCCTTAGATTATAGGGAATGGAAGTGAGCAGCAGCTGCAAAAAGAGCTAGCAGATGTGCTGATGGATCCTCCAATGGACGACCAGCCAGGGGACAAGGAGCTTGTGGAAAGGTCACAACTGGATGGCGAAGGAGATGGGCCTCTTTCTAATCAACTCTCAGCTTCATCCACCATTAACCCTGTGCCATTAGTAGGGCTCCAAAAGCCAGAGATGAGCCTGCCAGTAAAAACTGGACAAGGAGGTTAGGATTGCTGCATTGCTTGCGTAACTGAAGGTTATTGTTTTTAATATTTGAGTGTCTGCCTTGTACCATGTTTGATTTTGAGCAAGCAAAAACCATTACCTCTGTTCTCTAGGTTCTCCAGATTATAGTTACAGGGGGAGGTGGGAGGAGTAAAATAGAGGTTTCGATCTACTTTCCTTTTAAAGGATGTCACTGATACCAAAGAAAGAAACAGTGGTTAAATGACATTGAGGGAGTCTTTTCCAAATACTTTAAAAAGACTTTTCCAGGAAAGAAGGAATTTGAGCACAATGTCAGAGAAGTGGAGGAATAATGCTTGATGAAAATCATGTTTGCTACAGACCCACTCCACACTAAAGCTCGCTAGGGATAGTTACCAAGTTGAAAAAGGGAGCTGAAAGGCATGGGGAAAGGGGACGTGGCAAAGACAAAGGCTTATTGGGAAAAGGAGAGTGTTGAAACTATAGGTGTTTATTGGGAGAGGGAATCAAGGAATTGAGAGAACAGAATGAAGTGGCTATGGTTACAAATAAATTATGAGCGTAGATCAGAAAATATGAACGGTTTGGGATTTTTCATAGTGGTGAAATGCCACATTTATTTTTTTACTTAAATATAAATTATAAAGTCAAACCAATAAAGCAGATAGATATGTCAGGTCTGAACCTCGGGTTACTTTTTAGGTTTAGAATCGACACTGCAACAATACCTAAAAATGTAGGTGTTAGTGACAGTTTACTAGTGTGGTACTTCTGACTTTAGTGGGCCTTTCTTCTGGGGATTGGTATATTATTTCATCAGTACTTAGTATTAGAACTTAGAAAGAATTTTACTTGATCTTTGTGTTGTCAGACCATCAAAATGAAAATATCCATCTTATTTTTGCTCCTTTCAGATTCTGAAGGAACAAGTCCTTTCACACCAGTGGCTGATGAAGACAGTGTAGTTTTCAGCAAACTAACTTACTTGGGCTGTGCCTCAGTCAATGCTCCCAGGAGTGAAGTGGAAGCTTTAAGGATGATGTCCATCTTGAGAAGCCAGGGGCAGACTTCACTTGATGTAACCCTCTCAGTGCCGAATGTATCTGAAGGAACTGTGAGGTAAGACCAGCTTTGTAAAATGTTTGTAACATTTGATCAGAATTCTAACCCATCATTTTAAGAAGCACTAGTGAATGAAATACTTATCTCACTCATGTAATGTTTAATTCATCTGGTACTTAGTTACTATGACTTCTTGAGATCATCACCCTTGTGAAAAATGGTCACTAATTTGAATCGTTTTTTTTTTAAAGATTTATTTTACTTATATAAGAGCTGGGGTATATGCCAGAGGGAGAGGGGGCATGTCTGAGAGGATTCACCAGGACAGAGTGGGGAGCAGAACAAGGTGATCTACTGAAATACACCGCTTAGGGAAGCAACAGGTGAGACAGGAGAGGTCTGCTGGGCCATGTGGGTCGGCTCCCTGGCTGGGGATCAAACTCATGCTGCAGTGGCTTCCGACAGCTTCACAGTGCTTCACTTTAACCCTTTGCAATAGCAGGGAAGCCCCTCATTTGAACAGTTTTTAATAATCTTTCCCACACCAATCCTGTGTAGCAGCACATTAGAAATGTAAATGTTGGGGTCTCCCTGATGGCGCAAGGGGTTAAGTGTCAGTGCTATGAAGCTGCCCGTAGCCACTGCAGCCTGAGCTCAATCCCCAGCCAGGGAGCTCACTCACATGGCGCAGCAGACCCCTCCTGTTTCTCCCGCTGCTCCCTTCAGCAGTGTGTTTCAGTAGATCGCCTGTTCTGCTCCCCACTTAGTCTCTGGTGAATTCTCTCACCCCACCCTCTGCAACTCTGTCCTACACCCAGTTCTTTTATGCACAAATAAATAAAATAAATCTCTAACACAAAACGTAAATGTTTTTGATTAGTTGAAAAGTTTACTTAAGATTCTTCCTATAAGATTGATTTTTATTTCCCATGTTCCCTCAATAGAAATACTCGCTTCATGTATTGGTTCTATATGCATGTAGGTTCATGTTGATTTTATAAATTATAAAAACTTGATGGTAGAAATTAACTATTTCAGAACAGTCCCTTAATTTTTTTTTAAAGAGTTATTTATTTATCCATAAAGAACTAAGGTACAGGCCAGAGGTGCAGGGGTGGTGAGAAGATTTCACCAGAAATAGAGTGGGGAGCAGAAAAGGCCGACTGACGAAGTACACTGCTGAGGGGAGCAGCGGGTGGGTTAGGAGAGGTCTGCTCCTCCGGGGCAGGGATCGAACTCATGCTGAAGTGGCTTTAGCTTCTTAGGGCTGTGCTTTAACCCGCTGCGCCACCAAGGAGGGCCTAGTCCCTTAGTTTTTAAGGTGAGAAAACTGAGGCCCAGAAAAGTCTGGATATGGCTTTATTTATTTTAAGTAGGACATAGTAACAGTAAATGATAACCACTTTTATCGATTAGCTAAATACAGAATTCTAAATAGTCAGATAAACACAACTAAAATAAAAGAATTTTTCAATGACGAAAATATGCTTATTTCAGAAAAAACTAGAATAGGAATAAATACAATTCTGGGCAATTCTATAATTTTGCCCTCCAATTGATAATGGTTAACATCTTGGTTTATTAAGATCTTCTTCATATATTTGTATAAGTCTGTACATATGTGTATAAACCTGCACATATATTCATATTTAATATGTAATCCTTAGAATCAACATTTGTAACAACAGAATTGCATACATAATCTTGTAATATGCTTTCTTGATGAACCTCCTTTCATATTAGTAAGTAAACATTTTAATTGATAGTGGCACATGATTGCTTATTCAGAAATAATGTAGGATTTTAGTTTTTATAATGGAAAGAGCACTGATAATAATGGCCAATATTAATTAAGCTTTTATTATATGTGTATGTAAGTGCTTTGATTTTCTTATGACTAGGTATATTTGAGGTAAATTTTGTGGTTTGTTTTTTTTTTTAAGGGTTCCCTTAGGATAAATTCCTAGCTTACTGGGTCAACAGTTTGCCCTTTTTTATTGCTTGTGATACGCTGCCAGATAACCATGTAGAAAGATTGATACACTTTAACTTTTCTCATCAGTATATGAGGATACCTGTTTCTCTACCCCCCCAGGAGCATTCTGGAATTTTCATGGTCTTAGGGTAGTAGCTGTATGTGGATAATAGTAAGTTAAACATTTCATATTCCAGTTACTTGCATATATAATTATTTTCTTTGAGTATTTAAAGAACTGTTTTATAAAGACAAGTCCTAATTTTAGTTTTATTAATCTATGTAAAGCATTAATAAAGTTTGTTAGCTCTCATTGCTATGTTCTTCGTAGTTATTCCCCCAACTGAACTTTTTAAAAATAATGTTTCAATTCCATGAAGATCTGAGAAAACTTGTTTTTTTTTTTAAGATTCAATTTGTTTATTTATGCATCTAAAAGCTGGGGTGAAAGGACAGAGGTGTAAGGGAGTGGTGAGAGGATTCACCAGAGAGAGTGGGGAGCAGAACAGGCAGGTCTAATGAAACACTTGAGAGGGGAGCAGTGGGCGGCTCAGGTGAGGTCTGCTGCTCCCTGTGGGCCACTCCCTGGCCAGGGGTCAGGTGGTGCTGTGGCTGCCAGTAGCCTTATTGTGCTGCGACTTAACCCCTTGCACCACTCACCTGAGAACTACATTTCCTTGCTCCATGATGCCTTTAAGCCTCATGAAGCCCCTCTCCTAGGAGGTATTTCCAGCAGGGCCCATTCAGGGTGAAAAGTACATGGCTTCTTCTTATGCCCTTTTTGTTCTCAGTGCCCAGCTTAAAGCTGAAATGCTGTACATAGCAAATAATTGTTGAATGAGTACATTTTTGACTGACATTCTTTGGATTTTTAAGGGGCACTCTTCTGTTTTTATTAATGATCTTTTTTATGGGAGGTGGTAACATTTTGTATAGTCTCTTCCCTTCATCCCATGAATTAAAAAACCATATTTCACCCTGAGAAAACACATAAGTTTTAAATATTTGTTAATAACACAGCGTATTAGGTCACTCTAGGCAATACTGCAATGCATGGCTTTAATGCTCTGTTTTGGTTGTCTGCCCTGATCCTAGCCTTTATTTACTTACAGACTATGTCAGAAATACGTACTTACTGATACGAGTGATGCTGTTCTGATTGCCTCCCCCAGAGAGGGAATTATTGGTGTTAAGTGGTATTTTATGTAATCAAAAACTTCACTAATTCCCCCATCATTATTTGTCAGGGTTTAAGATGAACATGATTAGCTTTCAAAATGGTGATTTATATATTCTTGCTAGAAGTCTTTAATGCTAATATGATTATACTGAATATGGTCTAGGACTGGTCTAATCTCTTTTTATCTTTTTTTTTCTGAACAGACTCTTAGATCCTCAGACAAACACTGAAATAGCAAACTACCCTATCTACAAAATCCTCTTCTGTGTCAGAGGCCATGATGGCACTCCCGAGAGTGACTGTTTTGCATTCACTGAAAGTCACTACAATGCAGAGCTCTTCAGGATACACGTCTTCCGGTGTGAAATACAAGAAGCTGTAAGTCCTTAGGAACTGTCAGTGACGCGTCCTCGGTTCCCTCACTTGAAATGATTGCAGTATGTGCTGTGACACTGACAGGCCAGGGGAAACTGCCAGTGCGTCCTTTGTTCCAGCTAATGGTCTGAAGTGTCTCCGTAAGTTGAGTGTTCGGCTGACCAGAACCGTGCTGTTGTATGAGGGTCAGAAACGATTTGGCTACTGCTTTTTGGGGCTAGGTAGGAGCCTTGGCTGTAGCAATCACACATTTGCAACTCATTCTTTGGTGTCCTTGTAAGACTATCTTGTCTACTCAGTATATTCACATAGTTTCCACCAATGTAATAAATCATTTTTGGTTGAGTTTCTCACATTTATAATCACTTCTACAACCTCTCCTCTGGCCGTTTTTAGTATTGCTTGCTTTATGGGAATAACACATTACAGAGAATCAGTGGGGGAAAGATGAATTACTTCCCCTGACAAAGTTGGTGACCTTGAGTCCTAATGAGAGTTGTTTATTTGTTGTGGTGACAGCCCATTTCCTACCTGTCTGGTTGCAGGTAAGCCGGATACTTTACAGTTTCGCCACTGCCTTTCGCCGTTCAGCCAAGCAGACCCCACTTTCAGCCACCGTGGCGCCCCAGACTCCTGACAGTGACATCTTTACCTTCTCCGTATCTTTAGAAATAAAAGAAGATGACGGTAAAGGTTATTTTAGGTAGAGCATCTTGTTTTTACTCATTTTAGCATTCGGTATTATCTGATTCACGGAAAACTAGGTCACGTTATATAACTTTCATACTATATGATGGTTACATTCTAGATGGAGGGTTTTATTAAGTGATAAAGAAAGTAGACAATTATGCAGCGGTACAATGTGAAGAATTTTTAAACAATAGAAAACTTCATGTGAAGAAATCTATCACATTACCATTTTCTTCAGTCAGGTCAAAGTAACTGGCTGGTGATATAAAATATGGGTAGGTGCAGAGCCAGCTGGACTAGCTTTTGTTAGTTTACTTTAATCCAACTTACTAAAACCAAGTTTTGTAATTAAAGTTGACCAGAACATACCGAAAGGGGAGAAGTGAGGTCTGTGTCCAATCTATTTGGGGTTAGAAATAGCTAGCTAGTTTGGATTTTTAAGTAAAATGATAACTTCCTTGAATTGTGAAGAGAACCTGGAAATAACAAAAACGTAGGTCTTGTCTCATTATTGCTATTAAGAGCATCACCTTTTCCAAATTCCTTTATATCTGGCAGTATACTGGCAGTCTTTTCCTGAAGTATAAAATGAGGTGGCTAGACGCAAATCCTTTCTAACTTGAATATATTATAATTCAAGATGATTAAAATTTTCTCCATAGCCCAAAATGGGAACTTCTTGGGATCATAGTCAGTAGGTGCATACAGAAACTCTTTCCCTGCTTCTGGGTAAAGTGAAATGATGTCAGATAGGAAAGACACCTAACATTTTGCTTTGGAATTAAAAAGTGCTATTTGTTAGGAAAATTCAAAGATTTTGGAGTAGTCACGCCACCTGCTGGCCAATTGGGTGTACTGTGCAGCTGCAGCTTGACTGTGGATCTGGAAGGGAGAGGCACTCACTGTGTGCTCTGCTGTCCCCAAGCTGCGTTTCTGTTTTGACAGCAGCACTGTGACCTGATCCTTCCTGCAATGTGCCTGCTGCCTGGGAAGTACAGTTTATCATTGCAAACTGGGAGTATTTTTTTCTTTTTAAAAAATAAATGTTTCATATAAATTTATTTCTCCTCTTTGTTGAAGATAACTGTGAACATCATGCATGTAAATTTCTGTAATAATAGGAAAGGCTTTTACGCCCTTTGAGTATAGAGACACTGGCATAACTTCTGAGAAATGGCATAGTCAGGCAGCGCAATCCCAGTCACAAACACCCCTGTCCTTTTACCCTCACACCACAGAGGTGCTACACCAAATTCCTGGATGGTAAAACTTTGCTTTTCAGATTTGTCAGGAGTTTGTTTTTTTTGTTGTATGGTTACTGAATGTCTAGCTTATAGTAGAAAATAGTACTGTGTAACCTAACATTGTAATGAAAACAGAAGTATGTATGTCTTTGTCAAGTTTGAAGTTGTCAAATTTGAAGTTGTCAAGCACAATCACTTTTATGTAGTGGTTCCATCATATGCCAAGGAGTTACCACCTTGTATATGAAGATACCTGTAGTCAGCCATCACCCAGGTCAGATTGTGGTTTTGCCATAACAAACGCAGACAAAATGCTGTGGCAAAAATAAGTGCTTGTCATTATTCCTAGAAAAGTATAATTCTTTCAGTGTTCATTAAACCCCTGCCTCTTAAGTTAACCCTCAGGAAGATGGAACTTTTTCACTTATACCATCCAAAGTTATCATTTTTTTTCTCTTTTTACTTTATTAAGTAATATCATGAGATAGATTGAGGTTTTAGTTTTTATTCTGTAGGTTAAAAAGGAAAGCCCAGAGATGTTAAACCTGTATCTCAGTTTCTTAATTTATACAATGGGGATAAAATGCAAAATTACTTAGGCCCATTCAGTGATATAGCGACTACACCAGCATCGGTAGAGTGAGCTTGCATGGGTTGATCACATAAACTCTTTAGTCTGCTTCCTGTTAAAGCAGCTTGCTCTTGCCCTCCAGACTCAGGATACCAGGCACAACTTTATATCCATTGTTTTAAAATCTGCTAAAAGATACTATTTTTTTTAAAGATTTATTTATTTGTACATACAGAACTGGGGTACAGGCCTCTGGTGAGAGGCTTCACCAGAGACAGAGTAGGGAGCAGAACAGGCAGATCCATGAAGTATACTGCTGAGGGGAGCAGCGGGCGGGTCAGGAGAGGTCTGACGCATCATGTGGTCAGCTCCGGGGCAGGCGGGAATCGAACTCATGCGGAAGCGGCTTTAGATTCTCAGTGCTGTGCTTTAACCCGCTGTGCCACCAGGGAGGGCCAAGAGATACTATTTTTTATATCTCATCATCTAAGAATATACAGAGTAGTTCATGTCTTTATCAATTAAAAATTGAGACTTGTCCATAACCTTGTAGGTAAAGTCCTTTTAGTCTCAAATTTGAGAGTTTGGTGGAAGGAAGTTGTTCTTTGCCCATTTGTCATTCCTAGGGATGTTGTGAGTTTTAAATCTCTTCTAATCATGCCTTAACTGGCTAGTATACTAGTGTAGCTGGACTTCACACTAATTTTATTTCCTCAGAGTCACTTTTTAGTTTTAGGAGTTACTCTTGTCTTCTAATAGTTTCATTGCCATTGTATGAAAATTGCACAGTAATAAAGATAAAATTTTGATTGGCTGCATATTGGCTGGTTGCCATTGGGAGATGTGCTCTTTTGAGAACAAAGTAGCTAAAGAACCTGGTGTGTGGGAGACTGGCAGATTATTTTGGTGAACTGTCATTTAAGAATATTTTCAACTTTTTTCTTAAGCTGAATTTTATTAACTGTTTTTAGCATTATTTATATAATTATCACTGCTTCAGGGCATTGCCAGGCAATAGATGACTACTGGCTATAACTCCCTCACCTTTTTTTTCCCCCTCTTTTAAAATTTATTGATGCATACAAGAGCTGAGGTGCAGGCCAGCGGTGTGGGGCATGAAGGGATTCGCCAGAGACAGAGTGGGGAACGGGCCAGGTGATTGACTGAAATACACTGCTGCAGGCGAGACAGGAGAGGTCTGCTGTGCCATGTGGGTCACTCCCTGGCCGGGGACAGAAGTGGTGCTGCAGGGCTGTGGACAGCTTCACAGTGTCGCGCTTTACCCCAGGTGCCACCAGGGAGGCCTGCAAATAAACACTTTTTGAGTGCCTGTGTGCTGGGTGCAGTGATAGGTGCTTTACAAATGTTTAATTTTCACAGACATAAAAGAGATAAAACTAAAGCCACATTTTAGAAGGCCTAGGAATAATTTTTCTAGCTTCCATTGATGATTTAGTGGATTAATACAGTGATAATGTTTTCACACAAACAGCAAATGATGATTTTTAAATTTTGGTTATGATTTGAAAGCCAGGCACAGAAGAAAATATAAAATCTTTGGTTCTTTTCTGGACCTGACTTTCCGATCATAACAAAAATTGCTCTAGCATCTGTATATATCACAAAATACTTTGCGAAATTAATGATGAAATTTGTTCTACAGCGCAGTTCCCAAAGATAAGGACAGACAGTGCTTTAAACTCCGCCAAGGTATTGATAAGAAGATTGTCATCTATGTGCAACAGACAACTAATAAAGAACTTGCCATTGAAAGGTAAATGAGTTAGTAAGTTCAGCTTACATACAGATTTTAGTTTTGACCAGTACAATGGAGTAGTCATATACTATATTAAAAAAATGTATTTGCAAAATATTTTTCCCTTAGGGAATTCTTTTGCTTGTTGAAGTGACTTTGTTCAGTTTGAGTTATTTCTCAGAAGTTTTCAGCTGCTATGCTGACTTGAGCTATGGCGTGATGAAAGGTAACAGTAGGATCTGCTGTTCTCCAAGAAGGATTGTTTTGGCTATGCTGCTTTATAACTTCAGTGTGGCCTTTTTTTCATAGATGAATATGTTTGTAATCTTGATTTTCTCATTGAGGTAATGTTGATTTACAGCACTGTAGTGATTTGAAGGTGCAGGTTTCCACCTCTTTAGCTTTATGTTAAGACTGCCTGTCCGCCCCCGAAGCCCAGTCCTGCACCCCTCAGAGCAGCGCACCCCCCCCCGGCCACCCTGGTGGTGGCAGCGCTCAGGTTTTTGGGGTTCGCTCTGGTTTAGTTTTGGTTGTCCTTTTAACTTGTTTGCAAGAATTTTTTCAGATGACTGAACTGAAGCATTTTTGTTGTTACATCATTTCCAAACTTCCACCTGTTCTTTTTTTTTTTTTTGCAGGTGTTTTGGGCTTCTCCTTAGCCCCGGAAAAGATGTGCGAAATAGTGACATGCACTTGTTAGACTTGGTGAGGACTGCTTTTTGTGTTTCTTTTTTTTTTTTTTTTTAAGTTGTGCATTGTTTTCTCAATTTTATTTCACTTAATCTCATTTGAATCTCATGGTAGCATGTTAATGAAGGTGTTCTTGTCATTAAAACAATTAACAAAGGTAGGGACTTTTCTTAATTTTGACTTGAGACTTACTAGTCTGACCCTCACTCACCTCATCTTGTTCTTGACTATAGTGATAATTCTCTTTATCTGTCATTTAGGAATGATGTGCATATCAAAGGAGAACATTTATGAGGGGATTCTTAGCAAACTGTCATGAGCTTAGAAAATTAGGTGGCATTAGTATTATTGATATTATATGAACATCGTTATATATTATTCACTTGACAGGAAATTGAGTGTAGTTTCTGGTAGTGAACTTACCTAATATTTGCACAGTTTGATATGATTTACAGGCTTATAACTTTGAGTAACAATTGCTGTAAGTAATTGATAGGTTTTTCATCGTAACCATAATCATTCACATGCAAGCCTCTCAATCCCCATTCATCTTCTTTTATTTTTGTAATTCCTGGTTTTTAAAGGCAGCAAAATTGAGGTTACGTTGTTCTCTTCCTTAGGTATTTGTGTTAGTTTTATTCTTTGTTTCAGGAATCTATGGGCAAAAGTTCAGATGGTAAGTCCTATGTGATTACTGGGAGCTGGAATCCAAAATCTCCACATTTTCAAGTTGTCAATGAAGAAACTCCTAAAGGTAATATAGATTGTTGACATCATGAACACACATGTTTATCCAAGAACATACTCTGGATAAAATCTTAGGCCCATGTATTTGAAAAAATACCCTGTGTTAACCTGATTCTGGTGAAACCAAAATATTTGTTAGTTCTTTGAGTTTATAACTAAATTTGATGTATAAACAAAATACCATGTTCTGACACTTAGTTTACCCACGCTGTCTCTTCATTTTGCCTCCCCTCATTCCTTTTCTTTTTATGTACTTACTCGTTTACTGACCCCTAAGTTTTATTTTTGTGAGGGATAGTCCATGCCCACATGGTTAAACATTCAAAGCATGTAAAGGGAAGTAAAACTATCGTACTCCCTAGGCCTTACCCAAAAGGGACTGATGTGACGGCTTTCCGGTGTAGTTTTTTTTGATACTCTGTCGATAAACAGCTCTTTCCAGGATAGCTCATACTTTTTCTAAATGTCATTTAATGCCTGGGTAATGTTCTCTTCTGAAAAATTGCAGCAGGAGCCTCTTACTGTTGAATATCACTTTTTCTTGTTAACAGTACTATGGCTAAGTGTTTACAGATACAAACATTTGTCATTGTTAACTAAGATTTTAAAAGCTGAGAATGTCCACTGTTGGTGAGTGTAGCATAAGAAGCTTTTTGCCACTTTTGCAAAACAATCTGACAGGACATATCATGAACTTTAAACTGTATACTATTGTCACTTACTAATACCACTTTAGTGATTTTACTTGAGAAGACAATTCTTGGCAGAGAAATATTTTCAAAGCAGCTATTTAACTGATGTTTTATTGATGGGCTGCATTAAGATACTGAATGATTGCTTTTACATTAGTCATGTAGCATATACATTTTTATGTAAAAAATTTACTCTTCCCACCTTTCTCTCTAGACAAAGTACTGTTTATGACTACCGCTGTTGACTTGGTCATAACAGAAGTGCAGGAACCTGTTCGATTTCTCCTGGAAACAAAAGTTCGAGTGTGCTCACCTAATGAAAGACTCTTCTGGCCCTTCAGCAAACGTAGTACTACTGAAAACTTCTTTTTGAAACTAAAACAGGTACTGTTCAAGCATTATGGGGGCGGGGGAGGAGGAAAGACTTCTGAGCCTCAGGAATCATTAAGTTATCAAAGATCTTTAAGCAGTCCTGTCTCTTAAATATATGAAGACAAAACAAACTGTCTTTATTTTTACCCACCTGTTTGTCATTTTGTTGCTCTTTGTATTTTCCTGAAGAACCCATTTTCTAGCTAGTGGTCCTTGTCAGCCACTATCTTTAATTAATTTCACTCTCATCTCTGTAGGACATTTCACTGTTTAGGATTCTGGTTGATGGTTTTTTCTGTTAGTACTTTGTGACATAAGCCCTCTTGGTCTTTGACTTCCGTTGTCTTTGATGAGAAGTCAGCCTGTAATTATTTACATTGTTGATTCTCTGTTTGTAATGAGTCCTCTTTAGCTGCTTTCAAGATTACATCTTTACTTTGCTTTCCAGACATTTAGTGACTATGATTTTCCTTGGAATTTGCTGCATTTCCTAAATTTTCAGGTTTATATGTTCTATTAACCATTTAAGAAATCCTAACCCACTATTTCTTTCAATTTTTTTTTTCTGCCCATCTCTCTTTGTCTCCTAACAGGATTTCATTTACACATATTTAAGACCTTTTGACATTATCTTATAGAATTTTTGATGCTTCCTTTATTTTTCTAAATCTTTTTTCCTATTTTTTTTTCTTTAGGAAGTATACTTTCTATTGATATATCTCCAGTCATCTCCAGTTTGATGTTCAGCTCATTCAACAAATTGAAAATATTTTTAGATCTTTATTTCTGAATGTCCATTTAGTTCTTTATTTGTGTCGTTTTTCTCACAAGATAACCTCTTTGTTCTTTTTTAGGCAGATTTTCTTTTGTATCATTGTGTGTAATTATAACAACTGTTTTCAGAATCCTTGATTGCTAATTTTGATACCTAATGAGTCACAGCTTCATGTTCATCTAGTAATTTTGGATTATACAGTAGACATTCCAGAAAATCCATTATTGTCTGATTATTGATGTAATCTTGCAGTTGATTTTAAAGGTGAAATTCTAGCTGCATTCTCTATTCCTGTGGTGGGTCACTGTTAATACCTGTTTCATTTCGTTCAACTTTTTTTGACTCCAGGTACTCAATTATTTTTTCTTTGTATCAGTACTCCTTCAAAGAACACAAGTTCACTAATGATCTAAACCACTAAATCCAGTGATTGTCCCTTATCTGGTCTGTCAACATTTGCTGTAGATGATCTCTCCCTCCTCCTTAAATATCCTTTCTTTCTTTCTACTAGGTTTTCAGAACATTTCTCAAACTGGGTCCATAATGGTCTCATTAGCTCATCACCCAGCCCTACTATAGTCTACCTGTTGCCATAGCTCAGCTCGTGGACACTTACTGGTAGTTGCTTAGGCCAGGAATCTTGTTCTTTCATTCTTCACAGTCCATATCCAATCTGCAGGAAAAGCTGTTAATTTTTAAACCATGTCCTAAGTATGATCTCTTCTCACCTTCCAGATTATGTTAATCTAATCTTTATTTTTATCTGGATTATTTAAGTAGCATTCATCTTCCTATTGCTATTTATACCCTCTGTGTATTCTTCACATAGCAGCCTAATGTCAGCTCACATCATTCAAAACTCTCTTAGTCTTATTTTACTAGGTAAAGGGCCAAACTCCTTACAGTGGCTTACAGTCCTCCATCTCATCTGCTGCCAGTTATATCATAAGCCGATGACTGTCTTAATCTTCCTTCTTCCTCACTTCTTGTGCCTTAACCATGCTTTCAGAGCCTTTGCTGTTAACTGTGTCTGCCTCCTAAAATGGTTTTCTCCTGAACTCCCCTTCCCACCATACACCTCCTTCAGTTCATTTTTTTCAAATCCTTAGATTTACTTCTTAGCAATTCATGACTACCCAACTTAACACTGCAGTTTGCCTGCTCTTCCTGTGATGGTGCCAGTATGCTATATGATAGACTTTGTTTTCTGTTTTCCACATTAGCACCCTTTACTAAGGCACTACTTCTGATGTAGCTCATTCTCTGATTTATTTCAAGAACATTGTAGGTCTCTAAATATTTGTTGAAGTGATTTTGTTTACATGCAACTTTGACCTTTCATGATACAAAATTATACTGTTTTATGTGATTTTACATGCATATGATTACTATAATAAGTATTTTTGTTTCACTGTTTCCAAGTTATCTATCAGTAGTAATTTTAGGAAGGTAGGAAGCAAAACAGAAGATAGAGATTTCCTTTCAGTGTTATCTTAAGGGACAAGAGTAAACTTGTGTCTCAGCACTGATCTCCTGGCTCTTTAGTGTGGCAGGAGAGAGGACCAGCAGATAGTTATGCAGGACTTAGCTTTGGAGTCGAGTGCTTTGATCTCACCATTGACTACCTTAATGAGTTCGAGCAAGTTGCTTCAGTTTGCTGAGACTCAGTTTACTCGTTTGTAAAGGCAGTGATACTAGAACCTTCTTCAGAGTGTTAGGTGACACTGAGAAACTATTCAATCCACTTGAATTAGTTCCTGTCAAATAGTATGACCTTTACACATCGTAACAATTATTATTGAAATGTGGGATCTTAGTTCCACAGAGAAAGAATGAAATCAAAAACATCATTGAGTTTTGAGATGGAGGATCAGAGGAAGAATGCTTCAGAAAGAAAGCCAGTTCACAAACATTATTTTAAAAGTTTAAGGTACAAATTTGTACATAAAAAAAAAATAGATATTCTCTTTAACTAGCATTCTGCCTTTTCAGTCTTATTTTACTTAAAATAGATCAGAGTTCCCTGCTCTTGCATTTCCCTTGAGGTCTTATGTTAATGCAGATTTGTATTCAAAGATGGCATGGTTTCATAGGAATACACTTTTTTTTTTTTAAGATTTATTTATTTGTGCATACAGAACTGGGGTACAGGCCAGAGGCTCAGGGGCGGTGAGAGGCTCCACCAGAGACAGAGTGGGGAGCAGAACAGGCAGATCGACTAAGTACACTACTGAGGAGAGCAGCGGGCGGGTCAGGAGAGGTCTGCCGCGCCATGTGGTCTCCTCCGGGGCAGGCGGGAATCAAACTCATGCGGAAGCGGCTTTAGATTCTCAGTGCTGTGCTTTAACCCGCTGCGCCACCAGGGAGGGCCAGATACACATTTTATTCCTATGCAGGGTATTTAAATATTAAAGTATAGGTACTTGTATTTTTCTCTTTTAATTAGATTAACAAATGGCTTGGGTGGATAAACTAGTCAAAAACATGCATACCTGAGACTTAGCCTGATAGATTATTCTAGACAGTCTGTTAAGGTTACAAGCTAAACATAGACTGAATTGTCAATATTTTCTTTGTGGAAAGTGGAAGTTATATGTAGAAGCTGGGAGGAGGGCAAAGAATTTCTGAGAATAATCTTTCATTTTTCTCCTTATTTGGTAGTCATGGGGGGGGTAAAGGCTACAGTGGGCAAGTGGAGCTACAGTGTGAAGAATTTAAATACTTTGCTGACTTAGCATACTACTAAATCACTCCTTAGAACTGAACGAACGAAGTTATTCCATCTTTTACTTTCATGGCATTAGAAAGTTATTCTACTAGTCACTTTCACTTTCTGTCTTAGTAATTTTCACAGTGATCCTTGAGGTAGGACAGTAGTCTCACTATAAAGATCCAGAGATATAAAACAGTAGCTTCGGACTCGTGGGGTGGGGATAGGTGGTGTGAACCAGGTGCATTCCTTAGCCTTCAAAGAGTTTCACCTGGGCTCTTTACTCTACACGTCTTTCTATAAGAGTATTTTTAGATTTACTTAAATGGAGCATGATTTTAGAATTTAATACCTTCGCAGTTCTCATTAGACAGAACAGAAACAGTGCTACAGATTAAATGTTTAAATGTGTAACATATAGTTTGTTATTGCCTCCAATGTGGTAAGATAATTACAGAAAAATAGCTTAATAGTTGTTTAAAATTTGCTTTTTTCCTTTCACTAAAATTATCTGGTGACTCAGTAACTTTTTTTTTTTTTCCCCAGTAACTTCTTTTTAGTCTAAAAGCCATGCCAACCATGGGGGTTGTTATATATTAGAGAAGAAATTCTTAAAACTAGCAGGGAAAGAAAGATTACTTTCTTAGATTTATGTTTTCAGCAACAAAAACCATCTAAGTAACCTAAGGTGAATAAAAGATCAACTAAACTTTTTTGGGGCACATTTTATTTAAATGCTAGTCTAGGCCCTCCCTGGTGGCCCAGCAGGTTAAAGCACTACACTAACAAGCTTAAGCCACTTCCGCATGAGTTTGATCCTCGCCTGCCCTGGAGGTGACCACATGGCGCGGCAGACCTCTCCTGACCCGCCCGCTGCTCCCCTCAGCAGTGTACTTCAATGATCTGCCTGTTCTGTTCCCCACTCTGTCTCTGGTGAGTTCTCTCACCACTCCTGCACCTCTGGCCTGTACCCCAGTTCTGTATGCATAAATAAATACATACATGCATGCATGCATGTCTAATAGCATATGGTCCAAGAACACTCAAATATTAAACCGAATACAAATCAGATGCTGGATTGTTCTTTAGACCTCATGACCAGAGAGACCACATGATCTCACTGAAATAAGACCAGACCCACACCTCAGTGACCCCTAAGCCATTCAGCAGTGAGCACATCCCTAACTGTGAGCTGTTTAAAGCAACCCGTTTTGGTATTGTTGGCTTTTTATTTCAAGCTCTGACTAGTGGTAGGTATCTCACCAGGCATTGGAACCAGCTCAACCTTGGCATAGTGGCAAAACGTGGTCACAGGGGCTTCAAGTAAGTCTGAGCAGAAGTCAACCAGCTCCCGGTCTATGTCTAAGAGATGACAGCAAATTAGGCTGTGGTTCTAGAATGGAAAGTCTGTGACCCCCAGATAACCAGCTGAATATCACCTCCTGGAAGGACTCGCCCCACCTAAACATTATTAAAATGATAGAATTATACAGTTTTTTAATTGCTAAAGAGATTGCAGGGCACTTAAAACCTTTTTTAAAAAGATATATTTGTGCATACAAGAATTGGGGTGTAGACCAGAGGTGTAGGGGGTGAGAGGATTCCCCAGAGACAGAGTGGGGAGCAAAACAGGGATCTACTGCAGTACACTGCTGAGGGGAGCAGCGGGTGAGACAGAAGTTTGCTGGCTTGTGAGAAGATAAGATTGTTTTTATAAAGTATAAATTTTGATAATTTAAAATCCCATTAAGGGCAGGTGACATTTTAATACAGTTAATGATAGTGGCTAGTTAAGCTTAAATACTGATCATTTCTAAAGTATACACTACACCCTAGCACATGCCTTACTAGGCATGCCTTAAAATAAAGTCACAGTACAAACAACATTGGCAACATTTTTGTGGATTCCATTACTTTATCTGCTACTCCCTTCCCCCTACTTGGTAGCTTTCAGTTGCAGAATATTCCTTTTTTAAAAAAAAAAATTTATTAATGCATACAAGAACTGGGGTAAAGTACAGAGGTACAGAGGTAAGAGGATTCACCAGCAAGTGAATCCAGAGTGGAGAGCAGAACAGGTGGATTGACCGAAATACACGGCTGAGGGGAACAGCATGTGAGACAAGTTTGCTGAGCCATGTGGGTCATCTCCTAGCTGGGGATCGAACTCATGCTACAGTAGGTGCAGATAGCTTCACAGAGCCATGCTTTAAACTGTTGCACCACCAGGGAGGCCCTGGAGTATTTTCAAAGATTTTTTTTGCATAGTTTCATATAAGAAACCTTTGAGGGCACCTTAAAGCCAAGCCGCTTGGAAGAGACAGAGTGTTACCCTTCTATGCATTGGCAATTGGGTATTTGATGAGACAGTAAATAAAATTATAGGTCTGGCATCCTACTCAGTAGGCATTTTCTTTTTCCCTGAGAGTTTTTAAATCTAAACATACTTTTTTTCTTTAGAAAAGGGTACCTGTAGTGTAGCTATTAAAAGTAGTATCTTTTTATTCTCATCTTTTGGGTGAAAGCAGTTATACTTAATTAAAAAAATTAAAAGAATATTATTTCAACTTAATAAATAATGCTTTTTCATTTTCAAGATAAAACAAAAGGAGCGAAAGAACAATACTGACACACTATATGAAGTTGTGTGCTTGGAAAGTGAATCAGAGAGAGAGAGGAGGAAAACTACAGCTAGTCCCTCAGTTCGCCTGCCACAGTCTGGATCTCAAAGTTCAATGATACCGTCTCCTCCAGAAGACGATGAAGAGGAAGGTAAATTGTAGGGAGAGTTTAATTACTCTTGGGGGGAGTAGGGCCTGCAGGCTATTACAATTTTACCAGGAAATTGATGACGTGCTATATAATCGGAATGCTTTCAGTTACTACTGTGAGCAATCTGCTGTATGCAACGGACTAAAAAATCAGTAATGTCTGACCAACCTTACTTGTAATCAAGTTGGAAAAATGAAATTTATAATCAGTGTTTCTTCTAAATATCAGTCTACTTACTAGATTTGTGTATTATATTTCTAGAGCATATTTGACATGGCTTTCACCTAAATATCTAGTCCCAACTGATTCATCTTTTTTTTTAAGTTTTAAATATTGTTTTTACATCATTCATTTTGTATATTTTTCATCCCAGCTTTAAGCCCTGTAGACTTCCCACCCATGTGCTATCACCATAGTCCTGTCTACATTTCCCACTTCAGTTTTGATCCTATTCCCCTCACCACCCCAGAAGAATGTCTCTGGTTTATAGATGTTCGTTGACTTTCATTTTTACTTTATTACAATTGCTTTTTTCTTTCACCTGACCCCTTTAACTCCTGCCATGGGTGAAATTATCAGGTATTTTTCTTTTTTTTCTGGCTTATTTCACTAAGCATGATGCTTTCCAGCGCCATCCATGTTGCTGCGAAAGGCATGAGTTTATCTTTTTGATTGCTGAGTGATATTCCACTGTGTATATGTACCACATCGTCTTGATCCAGTCATCTATTTTTGGGCATTTGGATTGATTCCACATCTTCCCTAATGTAAATAGAGCAGCAGTAAACATAGGGGTGTAAGTGACCTTTTGAATTAATGTTTTTGTGTTCTTTGGGTAGATACCTGGGAGTGGAATTGCTGGATCATATGGGAGCTCCATTTTTAGCTGCCTAAGGAAGCTCCACACAGCTTTTCATAGTGGTTAGAACAGTTTGCATTCCCACCAGCAGTGTAGGGGAGTTGCTTTCTCTCCACATCTTCACCAACATTTGTTGTTGTTAGTTTTTTTAATATGTGCCATGCTCGTTGGTGTGAGATGGTATCTCATTGTGATTTTGATTTACATTTCCCTTATTACAAGTGATACTGAACATTTTTTCATATGCCTGTTGGCCATCTGCATTTCCTCTTTGGAGAAGTGTCTTTGTAGTTCTTGTGCCCATTTTTTGATGGGGTTGTTCACTTGATTTTTGTTGAGTTTCATCAGCTCTCTGTATATCTTTGTGGTCAGTCCTTTATCATTAGTATTGTGTGCAAAAATTTTCTCCCATCAACTGATTCACCTTGTAGCAGTCAGGTCACTTGCCACAATGTGGCTTCCACACATGACCTTGTCATTAAAATATACACCAAAAAAAACTCAGTTTATGTTGAAAGATACTAACACAGAATGAAAAATGGAAGAAAGAACACAGGAAAGGTGATAGTTTGGAGACATTCTTTGATTTATTATTTAATGACAGGGCTCATTTTTAAGGAAACAAGAGGCCTGGCTATGAGGGAAGCTCATCTGAGGCGTGTGTCTCTGGAGAAATACCTCCAGAATAGGAGGTATTCTGGAAACCCCTAGAACAAACCCATATTTCATTGTGCAGAGTGTGATGGAGTATTATGAAGAGTCATTTTAATATGTAAGGGGAATTCAACAGAGATAAATGGGCTTTTGGGGGCTTCTCTTGCTAAGAAAATGCATTAAGTAAGGCATGATGGAGATGCCACAAGTGATTGACTGGGTTAGAAGAAATAGATACTTAAAATTGTATGTCTTTTTTAAGTTGAGTACAAGCTTAGACGTTCCAATTGTTCTCTGTAATTTCCTTTTCACTGTGGATCAGTTATTAGTAATATTAATGCCAACAGATACTTGCTGCCTAATATGTGGTAGGCAGGTGCTTTGTTTATAAAGCAAAATATTTGTATAATCCTCACAAAAACCCTGAAGATTGGGTTTTAGTATTGTCCTCATTTTGACATAAGGAAATGGAAATTCAGAAAGTAAGTCGCCCAAAGTCACATGGCTAGAAATTGCCAAGGACGATTTTAATCCAGGAATGTGAGTGAACAGTGTGATCGCACAATGTCATTGTCTGAGTGCACGTAGTTCACATGCGACATCTTGGAGTGCAAAGAAAGTACAGCTGCCAGTTTTAGAGAAGTCAGAGATGCAATGTAGAGTTTCCTGCAGAGCCAGTTTAAGACCTGTTAACGCTGGGAAAGGTGGAGCTGTTCCCGCTGTCTGAGATTGTCTGTGGTGTAGCTGGTAATCTTGAGACTTGTAGTTTCCCTTCCGGTCACACTGCTCTAACATAGCTGAGTCAAAAGTTTATATAACTCTCACTCCTGAAAGCCGGCAATAAAAAACAAAGTTCTCCCAAATTGAGAAAGACTATCATGAAACAGAGAATGCTCAGATCTCCGTACTTCAGATTTTAAAGAATCCCATGTACCAAAATATTTGGGCCCAACTAGAAAATAACACCAGTACTGATAACCTAGTCCTTCTTATCTATAAATCAAATCTAAAAATCAGTACAGCACATTGATTTTTAAATTTAATGGAAAGGATCAGAGAACACTAGAACATTAACTCTGGGAAGAAAATCCATGTTTTTCCCACCATGTTTCCCTAGTATTAGCACAATTTCTGATATGTAGCAGATGCTTGGTGAATACCGGTAAGACAGGTAACCTCTCTGCGATCCATTTCCATAAAGAAATGCTGATGGCAAGAGATCGGTGACTGAGGAAGGTCATTGCCATGAGGAAGGTCATTGCCATGCCTTCTTGCATCTCTATATCCCTGGTTAAACCACAGGGAAACGACTCCTGTTGTGATCCCTTCTTTCTCCAGGAAGAATTGGCTCTATCCCTCCAGAGAAGCTCCTTCTCCATAGGGCATTTGTACTTGTCAGGCAGGAAGTCAGCAGGTATAAAGTGGGGTGGTATTCAGACACCGTGTTCGGAAACTGAGGTAGCCTGTCCTCTCCCTCCCTCTGTCCCCAACCTTAGGCACAAGGAGCACTCAGATTACAAGTTACTAAGGTAGGGTCTCCTAATGTGTTAGGAGGAATTACTACCTTTTGTAAATGTCAATGCATTTTTTTATGACTGCCTTCCCCCAAAGACTTGTTTTTTTTATTATATTGGTATTTTAATAAGTAGAGAATTACTTGAGGCATTAGGAAGTGGGGCTGATTCTGATAAAATAGTGAAGTAGGGAAGGTTCATCTTCCTGCCTTCTCTTTGTTTTCCATCTATCCACAGAGGATGTGCATTTGCATTTGATTTCTTTCTCAATCTCACCATCAAAATTGATAATAATGTCCAAGGTAGTATATGGAAAAGAGTTTAATTAATATCATGGATGTCTGAGTTTTTAAAGCGGGTGCTTGTAATTAGGCAGTTACTGTCTCTACTTAGGGTACAAGTTCTTGATGTAGTCATCAGAGGTGTGAAAATCCAAACTTCAATTAGGCAGGTTAAGCCAAAAAATTTAAAAGTAACTGATGAAGACACATGGAGACAATTATTGCTGTACCCAACTAGTGGAAGTGTAAATTGACAAAGCCAATGCAGAAGGCAGTTTGTCAGTAAATTTAAGAATTTTTGAAAGAATCCAATTTCTAACTCAGGAAGTCCACTTCTGGGCACACATTCAGTGAAAGCAGTGAGATCTGTCGTCCTGATACTACCTATAGCAAAAAGTTAAAAACTTCCCAAGTATTCTATGGAAGGGGATTGAGTGGGGTTCTTCTCCCTTTCTCTCTTCCCCCCATTTCCTTTACACTTTTTCCCCCTAAGATTGATTTATTTGTGCATACAGAACTGGGGTACAGGCCAGAAGTGCAGGGGGTGAAAAGATTCACCAGAAACAGAGTGGGGAGCAGAACAGGCAGATGCACTGACACACACTGCAGAGGGGAGCAGCGGGGAGATGGAGCGGCCTGCGGCCTGCCGAGCCCTGTGGTTGCTCCCTGGCTGGGGGTGGAGCTCATGCTGAAGCGGCTGCAGGTGGCTTCTCAATGCTTTAACCACCTGCACCACCAGCGAGGGCCTTCCATTACACGTTTCAATCCCTTTCTCTTGCCTTCATCAGATAGCAGCTGTTTTCCTTGTCTTACAATCATGTATTTTTAATCTTACTTGAATTTTCTTTTCCTAATACCTGGAATTAATTTTGAGATTATTCACTTTTAAAAAGTCATAAAAACATAGAGGAGAGGAAAAAAAATTATAATTCCATCACTCAGAAGCAGTAATTGTCAGCATCGTGGAACAGCTTATTCCAGACTGTTTTCCATTTTTAAGCATGGAAAACAAAACCTTATTAGTTCTTGATACTTTTATCACAGTGTGAACAGATGTCAGCATGCAGTCAGGCCGGGTTCGTGGGTCATATTTATTGAGTTTTCTACTGTCCTGTTGGATACTTGGGTAGTTTGTAAATTTTAACTTTTACACATGGGACTGCTGTGTATTTTTATGCATGAAGCTACTTGTATTGGGGAATTAGAGAGCATGTTCCATATTTTGAGTCTCATGATTTTGTAATTAAATGACTCTTGCAGTTGACATGATATGGAGCTGTAGAGAAAGCAAAGCAAAAGAGAATTAAAGAGATTGCAAAAAACTTACCACCTAGGACCTTTTCTGTTTTTTTTTGTTTTGTTTTTTGTTTTTTGGTATTTATATTTATATGTTGAAAAACATTATGACTATTTTTCAAAACTTTTATGTCATTCGTGGCCAGCAATAGTCACCTGTTATCTTTTTTATGTATTATATTTATTAAAGATAATGATGAGCCTCTCTTGAGTGGATCTGGTGATGTATCCAAAGAATGTGCCGAAAAAATTCTTGAGACTTGGGGAGAACTGCTGTCAAAATGGTGAGTTACAATAGAATAGTTCTTTCATCTGTGATGCTCATTTTATGATTAGGAATCTTAACTACAATCCTTAATTTTAGAGACAATAATAGAACTTAATTATGAGGTGTGTGTTGCTAGTTTATTTTTACAAGTTTTTTTTTTTAAGATTTATTTATACATACAGAACTGGGGTACAGGCGAGGTGAAAGGATTCACCAGAGACAGTGGGGAGCAGAGCCAGCTGATTAACTGAAACACACTGCTGAGGGGAGCAGCGGGTAGGTCAGGAGAGGTCTGCTGCGCCCTGTGGGTCAGCTCCCTGGCTGGGGATCCAACTCGCACTGAAGCGACTCTCGCTCGCTGGCAGGGCTGCGACCTAACCTGCTGCTCAGCAGAGCCGGCTGCTGCGAGTTTGTTTTACAAGTTCCCTATGAGGTGGTGGTGAAGATCTTTCCATGTCAGGGAAGAGGTCCTTTCTCTAGAAGAGGTCACGAGCCCGGCTCATTAAGATAATACACAGCAGGTAAGCTCGTAACTGGAGACTAGCGCACAGAAACCTTAGAACCATGGTAGCACTCCCAGGTGAGTCTTGGTTATATAATATTACGTGTAAAATCATCCCATTATCTGGGTCATGTACCTAGAGTGACAGCAGTGTTACAAGCAGGGTGTATGTCAGCTGCTCTATAAATTACTTTCCCTGCTAACACTTGTAAGATTTAGGAATTTCTTAACAGTTTAAGAGGCAGCTTCAAAACAGTGTTAAGAAGCAGTGTGTCACGGACTCTCTAAAAGGAATCCACTGCCTTCAGGTGTCTGATAGTGGATCCGGAGGCCCTCTGGGTGACCAGGTGATGGGACGGGCAGGCCCCTCTTGCCCTTTGTAAGATGCTGGGGAAAGCTGCCCGCCCTTGAAAGCCTCACGAGCTAGTCTTTATTTCTGACTTTTTGGGTAAGAAGGTTGACATATAAGTGCCCCATGGGCATGTTCCTTTGGGGGTTGATTTTTCTCAGAAATTTTAACTGTTGAAGCCTTTCACTCTCTTCTTAGTAAAATGCATCTTAGCATTTAAGAACAATTCCTATCCCTCAGGGCACCATCTGCTGAGCCCCCTCACAGTGCTCTACACTTCCAGGAAAGTGCACTTCGCGGTGGTGATGTCAGATACATACAGGAGGAAACTGCAAACCAAAGCATGGTTTGTCTTTCCACACTGGTTTTATTATGGGAATGTGGGAAGAAAAAAAAAGCATGGGAAGAGTTTTCATGTTCCTTTAGCAATCAGGAGGCAAACCTGCTGATGCCCTCGTCATAATTACATTTCATTTCTGTGAACTTGGAGTGTTTGGGCTGCTGCTGGCAGGGTTTCATCTACATAAAAAAATTTTGCTCTAAAATAGAAATGTAATTGAGTCTTAGTTATATAATATTACGTTTAAAATCATCCAGATACAGAATTTAGATTCTAGAATTAGATTTTTATTAGAACTCATTGGCATTTTATACAACTGCGTAGAATTTGTTTTGTTAACCTTTGTTCATTTTTGCTACCCGTTTAATAAGTGAGGTCTTGTCTTCTGCTCCCTCAGCTATGTGAACTGAGTTTCCATCTGTCTCAACTGTCTCCAGGGTGTTTAACACTGATTTTGTTGGTTTCAGTATGTCTTCAGAAACAGCCACAGAACTTCCGTTCACTTCACTGTTGTTGTTTTTCATCAGAATTTATATCTTCCTTAGAGTTAGGGAGCATCTTGCTATCGGGAAATTTAGGGGCCTACTGGAGGTGACTGCAGTTCCTGCTTGCTCTGCTTCCAGGCACGTATGGTGTGTGCAAGTCGCTTCACTCCATTGCATCTGTTTCTTCATTTAGGAGACACAAGCATTTAAAACATTTAGGATTACTGCAGTTAAAAAAAATAGATGTTGCAGCAGTAATAATCATAAAATTAAAATTAATGAATTCAATTATAGGCCAATACTGTGCTGAGTTATGTGTTCTGTTTCAGCTCTCACAACCTTTGGAACTAGTTTTTTTTTTTTTAAGATTTATTTATTCGTACAGAACTGGGGTACAGGCCAGAGATGTGAAAGGTGAGAAGATTCACCAGAGATAGTGGGGTGCAGAACAGGCAGATCCACAAAGTACACTGCTGAGGAGAGCAACGGGCGGGTCAGGAGAGGTCTGCTGTGCCACGTGGATCTCCTCCGGGCAGGCGGGAATCGAACTCATGCAGAGGTGGCTTAAGCTTCTTGGTGCTGTGCTTTAACCCGCTGTGCCACCAGGGAGGGAACTAGTTTTAATTTTGCAGACAAGGAAGCTGGCTCAGAGATGGTCAACAATTCTGGTCGTTAATGTCAGGTGCAGAATATTTAGCGCTGTAACGCCGGATCCCAAAGCCAGCTTGTTTAGCTCTGCAGCAGGTCTCTGCATTAGTAACCAGTAACATTTCCTTTGAAGTTTTGTAAGGTCATCTTGGTGTAGTTCAGTGGGTAAGCAAACTAATATCAGTATAAGTTTGCTGAGTTGGAGAAAGTTAATATTATCAATGACATAAGATTATTTTAAAAGTAACTTTACCAATAAAAATTAAGCTAAGATTATCAAACCTTTCTGTAAGGAGCCAAATGTAAATTTTAGACTTTGTAGGCCAGTGCACTCATCTGTAACTATTCAGCACTGCTTTGTAATATGGGAGAGCAGTCATAGATAGTATATAAACAAAAGCAGCTATAGTTCAAAAAATTGATTTCTGGAAAGAGGTTTTCATAATAGAAACTTTTTATCCTCCACAGTCATTTAAAAGGTGTAGGGTATCACAACAACTACTGGTAACACACTTCAAATATTTATTTTAATTCAAAACATAAAAATCGACTGTTGTTTTGTCAGTTTTGATGCAGAGCCCCACCCCTTGTTTTGGCTGTGTGCCCACTGATTGGAATTTCTATGGTCTCGATTATATGAACCACAGCCATCAGGCTAGGATTTCTAGGGGCTTGGGTGTTTTTTTTTTTGCCTTTTTAAAAGACAGTAAAATCCAGGTAGATTTTATTCTTTCATCCACATAATCTTTCCGTTATCTTGGCCACATCTAATTTGAGAGCACTTTGTTATTACAATTTTATTAGCTCATTACCTTGATGAAGTCATTGTGTATCACTTAGTTTGGTTTTCACAAAAGTAACACACTTCCAAGCTTTCTGTTGCGCACTTAGAAATTTTGGCATTTTTCCCCAGGCATCTCAACTTGAGTGTGAGGCCGAAGCAGTTGTCACCCTTGGTGAGGAGCGGCGTTCCCGAAGCACTCCGAGGGGAGGTCTGGCAGCTGCTAGCTGGGTGTCATGACAATGACCACCTGGTGGAGAAATACCGCATCCTCATCACCAAGGTACAGTGACACACTCCTTCGCGTTAGTCCCTTTAGAAATTTGTTTGGACAAGATCACTGTGCCTATTTGTCATCCAAGGAATTCTCGAAGTTCCTGTAGCTAACACCAGAACACACTGTGAGGCTTCTCACCCAGAGTGGTTCCTGCTGCGGGCACAAAGGAGAAGGCTCCGCCTTGCTGCCCAGTCACCAGCTTGGGCAGAGGCTGTGTCCACCCCGTCTATCAGAGTTCCCTGGGACCTTAGTTACACTGTCAGGCAGGTCAGTTTTGCGTGCAATGAGTTAACTTTTCGTCCCAGAAGTTTGGTCTTTGTAGGTAATGCCTACTTCTCATTTCTGCAGTTGGAAGAACAGGTTCTTTTATCTTAAGCCATATTTCCTTTTACTTTGTTGCCCTAAAATGAAGAATTGTGTGTTTTCTTTGTTTGTTTTTTTAATAGTATCGCCTCAAGTTCACGTATTCCTCGGGGTTTTGCAAACAAAACAACAAAAGTTATTGTATAGACAAGCACATCAAATTTTAAGGTTTTGCAAGGTTAGACAGTAGTGTCTGGCTTTGCACCTGTGTTCTTGGTTTGAATTGATTTTTTTTTTCTTGAATTCATGAAGTCTTTTTCTTTAGGAAGCAGAATCTTTGAGATACAGATCTCAAACTTGGGTTAGTAGATTGTTCAGACCCATCAGTCAAACAAAATAGGAGGTCAAACAGAAAAGCATTTAGCTGGTGTAAGTTAGAACTGCCTTGTGATAGTCTGGCAAAGCACAATGAGAAGCGTCTAGAAGAGTGAGTGATTCAGCCTGGGAGAGCAGAATCTATACCAGGAATATAATTTTTTCATGGTTTTATTTTTAAATTTTTATTTTAATTTATTGTTGCATCTGTGAACTGTAATACAGATCAGAGGTGTGTGTCGGGGTGGGAGGGGGGTTGTGAGAGAGGATTCCTCAGAGACAGAGTGGGAAGCAGAACAGGCAGATCCACTGAAACACATTGCTGAGGGGAGCAGCAGGCAGACAGGAGAGGTCTGCTGTGCCGTGTGGGTCAGCTTACTGGCCGGGGATGGAACTCATGCTGCATTGCTGGTGATAGCTTGATAGCACTGAGATTTTAACCCCTGCTCACGGGAGGCCCCAGGAATATAATTTTTAAGACAGCTTCTGGAAAGAGTTCCCAGGAGCATGGAAGAGTGGTAGAGCATTGTCCTTGTAGTGTGACTGAAGCTGAGTGAGAAGGAGGTCTGTCTGGGACACGCACAGCTGGCAAGGGCAAACCCAGTTAATTATTTTCCTTTGGTCATATTTAGGATACATAATTCTTGGTTTTAACTCTTAGTATTCTAGTCCCTCTTTTAAAGTCCTTTGAGATGTTTGGTTTAAAATGATTTCTTAGGGTAATTGATCTGGCAAGTCATACAGATAATTTCAAGACATGAATTGTTTTATTTTTATGGTTTCATGAAAATTGTGTCATCTCTTTCTCAATAGAAACATCATAGTTATGTGGTGTATAAAGAACAGCTGTTTTGTTATGCTGTGTATTTCACATTTATTGTACAGATGACTAGAATCTATAAAGATGTTTCCTTTTTTTCAACTTTTAGCTCTTTTAATAAAGCTCCCTCTGCATTGCACATAGCAAGGGCTAAGATGTGAGTGTTTGTGTCCTTGAGAGCTCATATTCGGAAGTCTCCCTCTCAGGTGATGCTATTAGGCGGTGGGCTTTCTGAGAAATGAATAGCTCATGAGAACAGGTGAGGATTACTGCCCTTATGAAAGGGGTCAGGGATCTCCCTTGCCCCTTCCCACCACGGGAGGACACAGGAGTAGCCTCCAACCTAGAAGAGACCCCAACCCTGCAAGCATCCTGATCTTGGGCTTCCCTCCCACGGAATCGGGAGCTGGAAATTCCTGCTGTTCGTGAGCCATCTAGTCTGTGGGGTTTTTAATTGCAGTCTGAACAGATTCAGATAGCAGGATTTGTATATGTTATTAAACATATAAAGACAATAACATTTGCATCTGTATAAGTATCTAGAAGTTATTCTAGACGTGAGTTCTTGGCAAATACATAATAATAGAAGCAGGCTTTATAAAACTATTTTGTGTTCTGAAATTTCACATGTAATACTTGCCTTAGAGGTTTTTGTTTTTTTTTTTGCTTCAAAGACTAATTTTAAAGCAGGAAAGAATGGCTTGATTTATAGTATAAAGGTTCAAAATATTAAATTTTGGTTGCTTATGTCATTAAACCTGTCTTATAAAGTTTATGCTGGAAGAATTTTTCCATGTGCCTTTTTATAATAACAACCTTTCAGTAATATAAAATACTTAGACTTACATATATTTTAAGGTATTGCCTATAAGTGATGGAGTTCAGAGGCACTCTTCACCCTGCTGTTTTTTTTTTTTTAAGATTTATTTATTTATGCATACAAGAACTGGGGTACAGGCCAGAGGTACAGGGTGTGAGAGGATTCACTAGAGACAGAGTGGGGAGCAGTACAGGCAGATGGACTGAAATACACTGCTGAGGGGAGCAGTGGCAGGTCCAGAGAAGTCTGCCACGCCATGTGGGTCACCTCCCTGGCTTAGGATCAAACTCTTGCTGTAGTGGCTGCAGACAGCTTCACAGAGCTGCGCTTTAATCCATTGCGCCACCAGGAAGGTGTTTCTCCCTGTTCTTTAAGTGAAAATTTTTTTTTCCTAAAGGAAAAAAATACTATATAATAATCCATTTTTTTTAATAATTGCATTTTTAAAGCACATATAATATGGGTCAAATGCTACACCAAGGACTTTATGTCTATTACCTCATTAATTCTAAGAAAATCCTTGAGAAGTGTTAATTATTATTTCCATTATATAAATGAAGAAACAGGTTCAGTGAAGCTTAGTTATTTGTTTCTAATCACTCAGCCAGCAATAATAGAAGCAGGCTTTATAAAACCGACTCCAAAACTGTTCTGTTCCTTTTCTTCCTTCTGTTTTCCTATCTGCTCCACTACCTGCCTACTTCCAACCTGCCTGTTCTTGAGCTTAAATAAAAATTTCTTTTTATAGACATGTGCTCATACATGTCTATTCCTGTAAGCACATAAGTATAGTTAATATATTTTGTGTGGAGCATGGTACCTTACTCAGCCATTATCCTATGGGTGGTCATTTACTTTATGTTTTTTTTTTTTTCCTAAGATTTATTTATTTATGCATAGAGGGTTGTGGTATGGGCCAGAGGTGCAGGGTAGTAAGAGGACTCACCAGAGACAGAGTGGGGAGCAGAACAGTCTGAAAGACGAAGTACACTGCTGAGGGAGCAGTGGGCGGGTCAGGAGAGGTCTGCCATGCCATGTGGGTCCCCTCCAGGGCGGGGATCAAACTCGCACTGAGATGGCTACAGCTAGCTTCTTGGAAATGCTGTGACATTCCTGTTCCCACTGGCAGTGTGAGACAGCGCTTGTGGCCCATGTCGCAGACTACGCTGGGCACAGCAGCCGTGCCTGCTGGTGGCCGCTGGGGAGGCCGTGTCTTCAGGGCGCAGTCCTCTCCGGTGTCCTGCGAATTACCTCTCATGTTCTGTGCTCACTTTTCTCTAAGTCCTTCTAAAATGTCGGTTTTTCAGCACTCTAGATTCAAATGTATGCCATTTGAATCTTATTTAGTAGTATCTTTCTGAAACATTAGTTTTATTGACTTTATAGTTTCACATTATACAGGGTGTTCTTAGTTTTTTTATGCAGAAAGTTGAATCTCGGTTAAGTCTCTCCAACCTCTAAATTTTATAAATGTTGTCTCCAAGATTTTTTTTGCAACATTTTTATTGTATGTGTTATATTTTATGTCTTTAATCCATCTGGAATTTATTTTTGTACATGTCATGAGATAGCAGTTCAGTTTCACTTTCTCCCATATGGATAACCAGTTGCATGTCTCCTACTTTCCTGCTAAATAGAATTACCATCTTTATTATTTTTCCTGTTATCATGTATACTGGGGTTGTCTGCTATTTTCTTTATTAATCTGTGTGTTCCTATAATAATACTGTTTTGGTGAAAGGGGTTTTGAGATATGTTCTGTTAAATGGTAAAGCAAATCTTTTTTCGGTTTCCTGTATCACGATGTTCTTATCCTTGAGTATTTAATCTTCCATGGAGACCTTATAATCGTTTTTTCCAGTCTTTTGTTTTTAAAGATTTATTTATGCATACAGAACTGGGGTATAGGCCAGAGGTGCAAGGGGTGAAAGGATTCACCAAAGACAGAGTGGGGGAGCAGAGCAGTCAGATTGGCGAAGGACACTGCTGAGGGGAGCAGTGGATGAGACAGGAGAGGTCTGCCGCACCTTTGGGTCAGCTCCCTGTCCAGGGATCAAACTCATGCTGAAACAGCTGCAGCTAGCTTCACAATGCTGTACTTTAACCTGTTGCACTACCAGGGAGAGTCCCTTTTCTCCCATCTTAATGCCACTACAACTCTTCAAGTTATTTTATAAGCATTCTAGTTTGAATGGCATTTAATTTATTTGCATGTTAATGTAAGGTATAAGCTACATTGCTATAATAAATCTTCACATCTAGGAATACAGTATCTCTTTTTACTTGTCTAACTCTTATTTAATGTTTGTGTTTTGTGTGTTTATGTAAAAGAACTGGGGTGTAGCCCATAGGTGCTTGGGGTGAGAGGATTCACCAGACACAGTGGGGAATAGAATAGGCGGATTTACTGAAAATCACGACTGAGTGGAGCAGCAGGTGAGTCAGCTGAGATCTGCAGTGCCCTGTGTCTGTCAGCTCCCTGGCCAGGGATCGAACAGGGGTGATAGCCCTGAGACTTAACCCGTAGGCCACCAGTGAGGTCCCTCTTATGTTACAAATTTTGAGTTGCCTTCATTATATGTCTTGGGTTAAAACTATTCTAAAATCTATGGTATTTTTGCCTGCAAATTGCATATTGTTTCCTGACTTCCATTTTTTAAGTGCTGATTACTAAATAAAGAAAAGACATAGATTTTTAAAATTCTCTTAGTTTTATACTAGCATATTTTAGAAATTTCAGGTATACAGTGATATTAGCAGCAAAAAATTACTTTTTTTTTCCAGGCTACTATTTTTCTTGGTTTTATATTTGCTGGTAGCATCAAGATGGTGTTAAATGATGATGGTGGTAAATAGCTTCCCTATCTAGGTCTTGCTTTTTAACTAAAATGGTTTTTCTTTTTTCATTCTTTTTTGAAAGCACACTTTTTTTGGGGGGGGGCTAAATAATTTTTGTTTTGTTTCAGTGATATTTTTTTTCCCTCTCACTTTTTAGTTTTTATTAGGAATATCTGCCAACTTTCATCAAGATCTTTTTCAGGACTCAGTGACTATGATTTTCTTTAATTTAATTTGTTGTTGGAGTAGCTATGTAAGGTAACAATATATGATAGACATCTTGAAATGAGGAACCCTTGGCTTCATGGAATGAAGCATTCCCAGATTCTGTGTTTTCTGTCCTTTCTGGTCTTTGGCTAAAAGCTTCTGAAACATGGTTTCTAGATGGAAATTCTCAGACAGGCATGGAGAAGTTAATTGAGTAACCCACAAAGATTCTCCAAGTGTCTCTTAAACCCTAGTAAACCCTAGTTGTAAGTCTTAGCAGCTGTATAAGTCTGAGGAGTGAAAAAAGTTGTAGTTGAGAGTGAGGGTAACAAGAGGCACTTTCTGGTCTCAGTTTTCAGAATCATTCTGTGGCCCTTTTGTGGGGGTTATTTTTCATCTTTTATGTCAATAACTGTTCCTTCTATTCACTGCCTACCAGCAAAATTTTACATCCAAATTATTGCACAACAGAAGGTTTTAACGAGAGAATAGTAAAACAGCAACATATTCTAATGTTTCTCTAATCTGGAAAAATAACGTAAATATCTAATTTCAACACTAGGCTTTTTTTTTTTTTAAGATTTGTTTATTTATGCATGCAGAGCTGGGGTACAGGCCAGAGACAGAGGGGCGGTGAGAGGATTCACCAGAGACAGAGTGGGGAGCAGAACAGGCAGACTGACAAAGTACACTGCTGAGGGGAGCAGCAGGTGAGACAGGAAAGGTCTGCTGTGCCATGTGGGTCACCTCCCAGGTAGAGGATTTAACTTGTTTTGAAGCAGCTGAGGCTAGCTTCACGATGCTGTGCTTTAACCAGGAAGGCCCTAAGCAGCTTTTTAAAAATTAAATGTCTTTCTCAGATAAATTTAATAATAGTCAGGAAGTCAGTATTTAATCACGTGCCTATGGATATCAAACCAAGAAAGGTGTCGGTTTAGCAAAAAGCACTGGCCGTGACATTAGGAGGTCTGCATGCAAGTTTCATTTCTGTGCCACTCTCTGATGTGAACTTAGAGAGTCTCTGCACCAGTGACCGTCATTTCCTCTTGTCTGAAATGAGAAATGAAGTTGCTGAAGTTCATGACTTTGACATTCTGGGAAATTAGGTAGTGTGTTTGAGTCTCCCCGACCCCACCGCTGTTTAACAACTGAGAATACTTGCCGTTGGATTCTACTAGAATGTAGGTTGTGAGCAGTTTCTGCTAGAGCCTGAATGTTTGTGTATGCACAGAAGTCACATTAAAGTCCTAATCACCCCGTGTGACAGCATCTGTAGGAAGGGCTTAAGGCGAGAGGGCATGAACAAGGTTAGTGGACTTAATTAAAAAAAAAAGTCCTTCCCACCGTGTGAGGATGCAGTGAAGGATGCCTGGGTCTTAGACTCTCAGCCTCCAGAACTGTGAGAAGAAATCTGTTATTTAATCAATCATTTTATCTATGTTGCTTTTTATCTGTGTTGTTTTAGCAGACTAAGGAAAGGTTCTTTCTCATTGTTGCTTGTGAAAAGTACTTTTGAGTCCCCATGTCCCATCTCTGTAAGCTCACGTCCCTTATAGTGAGTTTCTGTAAGTCAGAAAGCCCCAGGGGTTCTGAAGGTTTCCTGGGTTATAAAAACTGGAAGTCACGATCAGCCTAATCATTACAGTTGCTGTTTGCCTTTGTGTATTAAGCACAGTGCTTCATAACTTAAAATGTAATTAATTGAATTCTGATTATTGCTAAACAATGAGGTAACATTTGTTTGAAACAAAAAAGAGAAGGAAAATCAGATTATGTCACATGTCTCCTCCCCCGGGGAGTGCAGCTTTCCCAGGATGCTTACAATGGGCAACATTTGTTTTCTTGTACTCTGCTGGGTAGGTAGAACTTTTTTTTAGAACAGAGTCCTAAGACCCTTGAAGAAGAAGAACACACACTTCCAATTATCGAAAAATTGTCGTAATTTATGACATCATCAAAAGAGTCACAATATAATCCCAATTTGCATTGCCTTAAGTAGGCATGGACAAGGCTGTGCATTGTGGACATAAAGGGGAATTTGTGCACGAAGTTTCCTGTGATATTCCAGCCTGGGTGGAAGTTGGTTTGTTTATCTTTTGTTTGTATAATTGTGTGCTGCTTCTCAGAAACTAGAAACAAGAAATAACATCTCAAACCTATAGGATAGTGTCAAGTGTGGGAACACAGTAATTTCTCTTAGATAATATGTGGTATTTCTATCATATATAGACTGTGTGAAATACTTTTTATTTTTCTCTTAGAAAAGGGCTCTCACTTAGCTTGTCATTTTGGTCATCTCTGTTGACACTGGCCAGTTATCTGGGGATCATAAGAGGAAATAAATGCTGACTATTTAGTGTAGCCAGAACTTCTCGGGCAGCTGAATTCTGATCCCTCGGGTACCTTGCACTGTTAATTTATTTACTCCTTGACATTGCCCTTTGTTCCTTGGAAAATGCTGCAAGAAAATGGGAATTTCTTCTCACCATTACCCCTTTGGCAGCGTGTTTAAGACTGGCATTCTGTCCTGGTTACTACCCTGTCTCAATTCTGCTCTTCTACTAACAGGGGGATTCCAGACAGACGAGGAAACAACTTTTAGATGCCATTCTGCCGGCATATTATTATTATTCCCCCACCATGCAGTCTGGAAATCAGGGAGCACTTCTCTGGTGATGAATTCTAATGAGCTGCTAAAGAAGCCAGAGTGTGCGCGCGCCGGGTGATTTTTTTTCCCCTCCTCCCTTTCTTCCTTTTTCCAAGCCCCCCCTTTTCGCTATTTCCCCTCCTACTTTTTCCCCTCCCTCTGTGTCTCAGTTCTGCAGTAAACCGGGCTGAGGCACATTCCTGCTTTGCAAGGCTTTCTGTTAAGGATGTTTTGTGGCTTTTGTTTGGATTGCAGCATGCAGAATTACAGGTAACACTGAAATTGAGCTAGACAGATAAATTCTGTTGTAATGTTTTCAAAGAGGCAAAATAGTAAATTAGAAACAGAAAATAAGTTATCTCAGTTAATTTTATTAGTGGTAATTATAGTCAAATGTTTTCAGAAATGCAACAGCAGATTCTCGTTCTCCCCCAAAAGGCTTGAATGAAAGGGAGCAGGAATAGATTGAGCTGATGGCAGTTGATTTTGTTTGATGTTGATTGTGAAAGCTTGGTGTTGTGGCGGTCGCCTCTGTAGACTAAGGACCAGTCTGGGGGTGCTCCTGGGGTAGCTATGAATAGTTCTGTTGGGTGCGGTGGGATGGAGTAGGAGGGGTGATACCAGCCTGAGCTAGCCAGGTTCTTTGATTAGGACATTGGATGAAAATGTAAAATGCTTTCTCCTTTTCTTCTATCAGCTGTTCAGAGGAGACTCATTACCACTCCTGCTGAAGCTCCTAATCTTCCTCCCTTCTCTTCTGCCCCTAATCCTTAACCTCACTGGCCTGAAGACACTGTACCCAGAGTTTGCCTTAACCCCTTGGTGCTATGTGTATGGTAAACCTGGTACTGTGGCCACATCTGGGACTGGCCAGACAGCTGCTGCTGGGTCTCCCTAGTCCAAGGAGGATTTAAAGGGGAGTTGCGCGGCAGGCAATGCGCCAGAGAGCAGCTTCAGGAGCTTGGGGACTAAGGCTCCTCGGGCATTACCACACACACACAGAGCTGGCCGCAATGACAGCCGCTGCTCCTTCGCACTGTTGGTGGCAGCCAGGCGGCAGCATCAAGTGAGAGAGCACTCCTGAGCACAAGATGAACGCCACCCTGGATGGCAACCAGAGCAGCCGCCCTTTCTGCCTCTTGGCGTTTGGCTATTTGGAAACTGTCGATTTTTGCCTTTTGGAAGTGCTGATTATTGTCTTTCTAACTGTATTGATCATTTCTGGCAACATCATTGTGATTTTTGTGTTCCACTGTGCACCGTTGTTAAATCACCACACTACAAGTTACTTTATCCAGACTATGGCCTATGCTGACCTCTTGGTCGGGGTCAGCTGCCTGGTTCCTTCCTTGTCACTGCTCCACTACCCACTTCCAGTAGCCGAGTCTCTGACATGTCAGGCATTTGGCTTTGTAGTGTCGGTGCTGAAGAGCGTCTCCATGGCCTCTCTGGCCTGTATCAGCATCGACAGATACATCGCCATCACTAAGCCTTTGACCTATAACACCCTGGTCACGCCCTGGAGACTGCGCCTGTGCATTTTCCTCATCTGGCTGTACTCCACCCTGGTCTTCCTGCCCTCCTTTTTCTACTGGGGCAAGCCTGGATATCATGGAGATGTGTTTCAGTGGTGTGCCGAGTCCTGGCACACCGACCCCTACTTCACCCTGTTCATCGTGATGGTGTTGTATGCCCCCGCCGCCCTTGTTGTGTGCTTCACCTATTTCAACATCTTCCGCATCTGCCAGCAGCACACTAAGGAGATCCGCGACAGGCAAGCCCGCTTCGGCAGCCAGAGTGGGGCGGCTGGGGAGGTGCAGGCCTGTCCCGACAAGCGTTATGCCATGGTCCTGTTCCGAATTACAAGTGTGTTTTACACCCTCTGGTTGCCATACATCATCTATTTCTTACTGGAAAGCTCCACCGGCCACAGCAGCCGCTTTGCGTCCTTCTTGACCACCTGGCTCGCTATTAGTAACAGTTTCTGCAACTGTGTCATTTACAGTCTCTCTAACAGTGTCTTCCAAAGGGGACTGAAACACCTCTCAGGGGCCATGTGTACTTCCTGTGCAAGTCAGACCATAGGCAAAGATCCGTACACAGTTAGGAGCAAAGGTGACCTTCATGGATGCCACAGCTGAAGAGATTCAGTGACTGGGTTACTCTGTGTCTGCATATGACCCAGTGTGTCTTTATTTCCTTGCGTTCCCAGGTCACTAGGCAATCTGGGACAAAATAACTTGAATGCAAGCAATAGCAAACAAATGGTCCATCCAAAATATCTTCTAAGTTTGCAGAAATGATTTTCTGGAAAAATGCTTTTAAGTCAGAAGAAATCAGGACCATGAAGATAAATTGCTCTTGGTTCCAGTTTTTGTAATGTCATGGAAATGACTACAATTCTCACATTTAAAATGAATAAAGCCATATCTAACACTGCTCTCCAGCTGGCATGACAGAACCTGGGTGTGAAGAGCGTCAGCATTTTTAAAAGTCACAGCTCTCTTGACATTTTTCTGGGTTCTTTCCAGCTGTTTGGGCTTCATGTGCAATTGATTTAATGGGAAATATTCAAATACACAGTGAATTAACAGGGTTATGAAATTGTGTACATGCCAAAGTTAGCTACACTGAAAGTTTCAACACTGTCATTTAGAAAGCCAAATGTTTTATGTCTTATTCTCTTGAGAGAATTCTCTACAGTGAATAATGTGAATGCTTAACCATTAATTTTAAAATTTTGCAGTGGAGCAAAAGTGCAGCAAAACTATGAAAAACTGAGCTGCTTTTTGCGCCGTGCTTTGCGGAGATCTAAAGAAATTATGCATAGGAAGTGCTTGTGTTGTGGTATCTTTGCCTTTGTATGTGTGTATTTAGAATATTTGAATTGAACTAGATTTCTCCTTCACAGCAAGATGTGTTTTAATAAGCCAAAAATAATCATGACTGGCTGCCATTTTTGTAGTGATGAAAATATGTAAAAGTGTATCTTTAGTCTTTTCTATTCTTTTTATCCAAAGACTTTTGAAATATTAGCGGATCAGGGAGAAAGGTGTTCTAAGGAACTAAGTCAGAAAATATACTGTACTTCTAGTTAATTTTTTAAATAGCAAGGGGCTAATGGAGATGTTCTTATTGTAGTTCAGCAGAATCAAGTAATAGCTACTTATTTTAAAAAACATTTTTGTAGTTACTGTTATGGGATTCCGACTGGCATGAGGAAAGGAGAAAATCCGATAAATTAATCTCTTAATTCTGTTCTCTTTCTGGAAAAAAAAATAGTTGTGGAATACAGTTCTTTTCTTCATCATTTGATTTTTTTTTTTTTAAAGCCACAGTACTAGCAAAATCTGTAGGACTGTATTGTTGTTAGTCTGTAGAATTATTAACTGTTGATATTTTGTGTTTGGGTATACTAGTGATGTTTTGTTCTTAAAAGTGAATATTTTTAGGGAAAGAGATTTATTTTTCTGAAGGAAGGAAGGACTCTAAGTGGCTCCAGGCGGGTGGATGTTTCCTCTACTTTTCTACCGGTTTTCATGTTGGGGACGTCTTCAAGAGATGTGTTTGATCTCTGCCTTTAGCTAAATGTTGTAATCTGAATTTGATTATGGGATTCAGGGAGCTAGATCATGGGAGAAACTCAAAGGATGTGAGCAGATCGATTTTTGGATCTCAGAAAGGACACAGATATTTATGAAATAGGCAGTTATGTTTCAGCTTTCCATCATGATATCAGAAAACCTTCTCCCCATTTTAAAATAAAGGGCAACATTAAGATTTTAGGCTTTAGGCTATTGATGTTTAGAATACCAGATGTCTTCTTAAATGTGCTTTTAAGTACACATTGTACAGACATTTCAACCTCAGGTTCTAAGTTCTTCCCCCAAACTTTTTTGCTCTTATATTTAGTATTAGAAGATTTGATTCTAAGTTGCTTCAAAATTTAGAATTCGTTGAAATGCAGTTTATATTAGCAGTGAGACTCTGTTGAATTGCTTTCTCACGTGGAAAGCCTTTCTGTTGGATTCTGAAAAATAGCTGTGCACATTTCCCCGTTATTGAAGTGGCACAGATCTAAAAAACAGTAATTTTTATCATGTATGTTGAAGAGTGTAACCTATTCAAATCTGTATGGTATACTTGTGAATCTTTGGCTCGGCAGACATAGGAATCTAAAATACTTCATTTTTATAGGGAACTGGTGTTAAATCCACGGATTTTATTTTAGGAAAGGAGCTGAGCCCTTTTAATATTTTCCTGAAATAGGAATGGAAAATAGAAAATGTTCAGTTTTCTAGAAATGGCTGTTAAACTAGTCTTTTAATGACTGGAAAGATTCAACTTTTAATAAGAGCTTTTGTTAATAGATTTTTACACTTTTGTCCTAGTGCTAGATTTAGATAAGAGGATCTCTATGTCTCAGTCTAAAACTAAAGTAGAAACTAGGTAGATGTAGTCATTTTAGAGAAAAACATCACCTCCCTTATATCTTGCTTCCCTGGAGTGTATAAACCATTTCTTCCAGGTACCAGTTCTGTTCTGACATTCATTGCTTTTTTTATTTTTATTTCCAATGTGGGTGCATGTTGGAAATAATCCTCTAACCTTCAATGATGGTGGAGATGTTTCTATATGATCTGTTTGGAGAGTTTGTGCATAAGTAACCTTTTCATGCTGGCATTCTTAATGCAACATTTGTTGATATTTGGCTTAAATACCAGTCTGACTAGAATGAGAAACAAAAGTGTATTTTTAGTATCAATTACTTCTGAGCTTTTGCAAGACAGTGCATTTAACTTTATGTAGCATACAACTGCTATCAGAGGAAGAAGAACCTTTGAGCAATTTTGATGATTATTCAATAGTGGGCCTCCATGGTGGCACAGGGGTTAAAGTCTCTTACTATCAAGCTATTGCCAGGCATTATGGCATGAGTTCGATCCCTGGCCAGGGAGCTGACCCTCATGGCACAGCAGACCTCTCCTGTCTCGATAGCTGCACCTCTCGGCAGAGTATTTCAGTCCATCTGCCTCTCTGCCTCTTCTGCTTCCCCACTCTGTCTCCGGTGAGTCCTCTCACCCTCCACACCTCTAGCCTACACCTCAGTTCTTATGAATATGTAAATAAACAAATAAATCTTTTTTAAAAAGAAATAATTTAATAGTGAATTTAAAATAAGAGTATGCTAATCATATTTGTAAATTGTTGTGTGTTTTTATACAGTGATTTCAGTGAAGGTATGTTTTTTTTTCCCCTCTTAAAGTGGAAAAGCGAAAGGACAAGTGCCGTCCACTTTAATGAAGAGTGCCCCACTCCCCTTACCCCTTCTCCCCCTAAGAATGGGTGTTTTGATTTTGATGAGCCTAAATTCCGTTCTGGAAAGGGTTTTCTTTAAACTTTATTGCTGGATAATCCTTTTTGAGCCTTTCATCATGGCTTTTCCTTTTTACTTGAATAATGATTTCAATCTTTCAAGGATTGGGAAAACTTGAATCTTTTTTTTTTTTATCATAAATGCATTGTCCACCTTTTTAAACTTGAAAATGAATCAACAGGGTTACAGGCTCCCAGCTAGTGGAGAGGTTCCTTGACTTTTCAGGTTTGAATGAAAAATCTCAGTTTTTAAGGAAATGTTTTAATTTCACTGTGTTTTTGTATTATTAAAAAATTGTGAATTAAATTATTGGCAAACCGGAATTGTTATATGAGCAGATTTGGGGGGTACTTAAAGAATAGAGAGTCTTGATCACTATGAGACTTATTTAAAGTCTTCTTAAATCATTCAGTGTATTGTATTGATTTTTGCATAGTTTGTCTGTACATGTTCTTAATATATGTGCAGTATGTTAATCTGGGAACACTCTGGACATGTCTCAAGGCTCTAAGTTAGTTGGCCTTTTCTCAAAATTTGGATGAGAGGGTGTTAGGAAATGATTAAAATGATCTTTAAACTGAGAGTCAGAAACTGACATTTCTGTTACTAGTTAACTAGCAAGGGCAAGCAGTTCTCTAAATGCTTGTTTCTTCTATCAAAGGAGATGATAACCCTTTTTCCTTTTTAGGGGATTGAATTAGATAGAAGTAAAAGTTTTTTTCTTTCATCTGTTCGCACTCTGTCTTATTGCTCATCGTGTCAGGTAGAGATCCTGGCTCTCCCCCTTTCTGCTGTGGCTTTACCTCTTGTGAGTCACACCTGATGATGAGGCCGCCCCACATTCAGATCATTGCCGCTCAGTGCTGGGATGCTATTTAATGCTATGAGCAGTCCCAAATTTGAGAAAAGAGTTGTGATAAAGCCTCACCTTTCTAAAATGCCAGTAATACATAAGCTGTTCAACCTGTTTCAGTTACATCGCATATTTGTCTGGAAACTCTCTGAGGGCAGGGACAGGATCTCCTCTTTATCCCAAGAATCTAACATTGGCTTAGAGCAGAAGCTTTACAGAATGAAAGAAAGAATAGGCGGTCCTTCTAAGGAAGGGTGAGCTATAGATTAGCTTGGGGAAAAGAATTAAGGATATTCTACCTCTCTGGTTCTGCTTTGTCTCCCTTTTATTTTAGTCAAGCAGTTTTCTAGCTCCATCTTCCTTTCTTTTAGCAAACTGTTTGTTGGTGTGTGTTTGAGTGTGTGGGAGATTGTGGTCATGGAATAGCAGTGGCGTTAGGGTAGTTTAAGATGTGACCTGAAGCCCTTACACTGCTTGCCCTGCCCTGTATCAGACCGTGGGGCTAGCTGGCTTCAGAGAGGGGTGGAAAGAAGGGTCATGGCAGGCCTTTCTTGTAGAATTTAGTAGTTTTTAAGTGTTTCCTGTGGGAAAATTCACCTCAAAGAGTGAATTTGTCTGGAGGGATTTGCCAAGGCCTAACGTTGGGATAATTGGCATTGTGGATCTTTTTCTGGGGTGAGCTCTCATGATGCCAGTGTAGAACATCATAGTGCCAGTTTATTAGTTTAAAATAAGAAATAAATGCTAGAAGTAGGGAGTTGATCTTCATGGGAAGCCAAATGTTACTCAGAACTCCTTGGCGAAGATGTAATGTTGGGGTGGATATGGTTCTGTTACCTGCTGGTGCTGGATCAAGGCCAGTACCCCTCTCTACAACCAGAAAACTGGCCACTGGGATCATAACAAGAGATGAAAATCACACCTGCTTGCACACTCATTG